TATATATATATATATATATATAATATAGGTGTATATACACCTAAATAATTATATATATTTAGGTGTATATAAAACTAATTTATTCTCTGCAATGTTTGCATGCAAAAAGAAGAAAAAAAACAAATAAATAAATAATTATTTATTTGCTAATAAATAGAGACATTTAATTCAGGTGTATAGGCACCTATTTAGGGTGTATAGTCACATAATTAGGGTGTATAGGCAGGTATATATTATTTATTTATTTATTTATATTTATGTATTTATTTATTTTATTTATTTATTTATTTATAAGAGTCCCTATCCAGACAAAGACAAAAAAAAGGGTTTGTTTTGTTAGCAAAGGAAAATAATTGTGCTGCTGCAGCTGCAGCTGCTGCTGCTGCTGCTGCTGCAGCTGTTGCTGCTGCTGCGGTTGCTGCACACGCTGCTGCTGTTATTGCAGCTCTTGTTGCTGCAGCAGCACCAGCTATAGCTGCTGCTGCTGCTGCTGCTGCTGCAGCTATAGCTGCTGCAGCTGTGTAATACAAGGGAAGGGTAGTAATCCTTGTTGTGCGTCTTGCTGCAGTTGCTGCTGCTGCTGCTGCAGCAGCAAAATATTTTTATTTTTTTCTTCTTTTTTATCTTTTATTGAATTTAATAATATATTTGCATCTATATCTGCTGCTAAGGATAATAACCAACGGCAGCAACTTATCTGCAGCAGCAGCAGCAGCAGCAACAGCAGCAGCAGCAGCAAATACAGCATATGAAGGAACAGCAACAGATGTTTATACTGCAGCAGCAAAAAGAACGATGATGCATGCAAAGAGCAGCAGCAGCAGCAGCAACAGCAGCAGCAACCACTAAAAACAGGGAAACAGAACGAACAACACCAGCAGCAACAGCAGCAGCAGCAACAGCAGCAGCAGCAGCAGCAGCAGCAGCAACTCACGATACTAATGATGTGTACTTCCATTAAGAAGCTATCTATTGTTAATGTAGGAAGATGTCCATCTTCATTCACCTAGGAACAAAACCCTAAACCCTAAACCCTAAACCCTAAACCCTCCTTGGGCAGAGTTGTGTTGTGCTTGTGCCTTAGTTAAATGTTAACTAAGGAAGTGTATATGCTAGGGTTTAGGGTTTAGGGTTTACAAATAGATAATGGGGTTTAGGGTTTCCTAAGGATTAGGGGTTAACTCGAGGTGCGGGCTAGGGTTTGCTAGGGTTTAGGGTTTGCTAGGGTTTAGGGTTTGCTAGGGTTTAGGGTTTAGGGTTTAGGGTTTACGAGTGCAGCATCAAGAAGGCCATAAATAGAATTCGTTAATCTTTGCAAACATAAATCCAAACCCCTGTGCTGCGCATCCGTTGTCTCCGACATCCTTGCTGCTGCTGCTGCTGCTGCTGCTGCTGCTGCTGCTGCTGCTGCGGTTGCTGTTGTTGTTGCTGCTGCGGCGGCGCCTGGTGCGTCTTTTGATGCAGCAGCCTGTAGCTCAAGACAAGTTTCCTGATGCCGCTGCTGCTGTTGCTGCTGCTGCTGCTGTTGCTGTTGCTGCTGCTGTTACTGCTGAAGCAGTTGTGTCTACGGATACTGGTGCGTGTCTAGCAGCTGTGTCTGTTCGCGCTGCTGCCTTTGCTGCTGTTTAAGGGTTTAGGGTTTGGGCTATATCCTAGTTAGAGGGCTAACGGCCTTTGACCGTAAACCCTAAACCCTAAACCCTAGACGCGCAAACCCTAAACCCTAGTAGATGAATCGTACAAAGACGTGTGTGGTGATCTAGACAGATGAATAATTAAATTTTTGTTATATTTAGGGTTTATGATCTAAGATTTCAAAATAAGGGTTTAGGGTTTAGGGTTTAGGGTTTGGGGCTTCGCACTGTGTTGCATGCGCGGTGCTATTGCGGTGTATACGCTGCTCTCCTCTCCTCCAATGTTCGTGTGGGGAGTGTATGTGTATCTGTATATTATTAATGAATATATTTTATGAATAATTAAGAAAAAAAAAAAAATTATTTTTTCAAACCCTAAACCCTAAACCCTAAACCCTAAACCCTAAACCCTTGAAAATGGCAAACCGCCAAGAACGTACCTATATAATGCTGAAGCCTGATGGTGTACAGAGGGGTTTATTACCTGAGGTCCTTCTTCGTTTTCAGAGAAAAGGGTATAAATTAATAGCAATAAAGATGGTGTATCCAACAAAGGATTTATTAGAGAAACACTACCAGGACCTAAACACTAAACCCTTTTTTCCTTCCCTTATTTCTTATATGAGTAGTGGTCCTGTTGTTGCTATGGTATGGGAAGGAACAGATGTAGTTAAACAGGGAAGAAAACTTCTTGGAGAAACTAGACCTCTTGAGAGCCAACCAGGTCAGTTTCTAGGGTTTAGGGTTTAGGGTTTAGGGTTTAGGGTTTGGATAATGAGGGGTTGGGGAATGGGAAGGGTTTAGGGTTTGGGTCTCGGGTCTTGTTAATGGACTGGGAGGGTTTTAGGGTTTAGGGTTTGTAGGGTTTATGTTTTATCTTAGGTTGTGGATTAGAGGGTCAAAGTACCAGCAAAAACTCTAAATTCTAGGGTTTAGGGTTTAGGGTTTTGGGGTGTATACGCAGGTACCCTTCGTGGAGATTTCTGCATAGATGTAGGCCGTAATATTGTTCATGGATCTGATTCTGTTGAATCAGCAAAGAAGGAAATTTCTTTGTGGTTTAAGGATAACGAATTATGTGAATGGACACCAGCTAATAATTCATGGATTTATGAGTAAACCCTAAACCCTAAATTAGGGTTTAGGGTTTAGGGCTTTACAAAGGTTTTAGGGTTTACGGCGTTTCAATTGGATATATAACGAATATTTTAACCCCAATATTATACCCACTCTTGGGGAACGCAGACGTTCCTCGAGGGTTTAGGGTCTAGGGTTTAGGGTTTAGAGGACAACCTTTTCCTTACCCCTAACTGACGGCCGTTTGCCAACTTTGTAATTGTTTACAAGACCCACGATCAGGGTTTAGGGTTTAGGGTTTATAGGGAGCTCACAGGAGACAGTTCTAGGGTTTAGGGTTTTAGGCTATACGGAGCTCACAGCGCGGCAGTTCTAGGGTTTAGGGTCTGGGGGGTTTAGACGGTGAGAGCTCTAGGGTTTAGGGTTTAGGGTTTAGAGTCTAGGGTTTAGCGGTGTCAGATTAGTTGTAGAGAGGAAACAACAATTTCTTAAGTATCCTCGTGGGATCGTCTCCAACCGATCTGGGATCGTCTGGGGATCGTGGTGGGATCGTACGGAATCGTATTGGGAACGTCTGGGGATCGTGTCGGGATCGTTTCCGGACCGCGCTAGGGTCGTGTGGGAGCGCTTGTTGGTATCGTGGTGGGATCGTATTGGGATCGTGATGGGATCGTATTGGGATCGTTATGGGATCGTATTGGGATCGTTGTGGGATCGTATTGGGATCGTGATGGGATCATTTTGGGATCGTGATGGGATCGTGATGGGATCGTATTGGGATCGTATTGGGATCGAGGTGGGGATCGAGGTGGGGATCGTATTGGGATCGTGACGGGATCGTATTGGGATCGTGATGGGATCGTATTGGGATCGAGGTGGGGATCGTATTGGGATCGAGTGGGATCGTGTTGGTATCGAGTGGGATCGTGTTGGGATCGAGTGGGGATCGAGTCTAGGGGTAACAAACAAAGACAACGGGCGTCTTAAGGAGACAAAAATGAGACAAAAAAGGAGACAAAAAAAAGAAGAAAAATAATAGAGGAGGTGCCTATACACCGCAACTCCTTCTCCTCTATATAAGACAAATAAAAGACAACAAGAGAATAAAATATATCAATAAATGATGGGGAACAAACCCTAAACCCTAAACCCTCAAGACTGCTCAATAAACCCTTAACTACTGTCGTGGACCGCTGCAGCAGCAGCAACAGCAACAGCAACAGCAAATGTTGCTTCTGCTGCTGCTGCTGCTGCTAGAACAACTGCTACATATTTAATTAATTAGTATATATTTTAGGGTTTAGGGTTTAGGGTTTAGGGGTCGACAGCATGTATAGCTAGCCGGTAGGTCTTGGGGCTGGGAGGCCGTGCATGAATAAACCCTCGTAAACCCTAAACCCTAAACCCTAGAGGGTTTAGAAACAAATAAAACAAATAATTTATTTGTTTGTTTATTTATAAGGAAAGCAGCAGCAAATAACAGCAGCAGCAACAACAGCAGCAACAGCAGCAGGAAGGACGGTCTGTATCGACATCCGGCTTGTCGGCAGCGGTTTGCTGCTGCTGCTGCTGCTGCTGCTGCTGCTGCTGCTGTTGCTGCTGCTGCTGCTGTGTTGTTGAAAAATACATAAAAAAAGGCATAAAAGGAAGGGTTTAAATATTTCTGATTTGATTAGGGTTTAGGGTTTAGGGTTTAGGGTTTGGATTACGTGTTGTTGCTGCTGCTGCAGCATCTTGTGTGCCTTTTTTATTCAGCTGTATATACAGCTGAATAATGTCTATTGATTATTTTTTCTTTTTTTCTTTTTTTTCTTTTTATTAAAAAAAAAGAAAAAATAATTTATTCATCTAAACCCTGAGGATTTTATGATTTTCTTCTTTCTTCTAAGCTAGCTAAAAACCCTAAACCCTAAACCCTAAACCCTAAACCCTAAACCCTAAACCCTAAACCCTAAAAAATGGATTCATTTGGTATAGAAGGGGGAATAAACCCTTCTCCTTGTGGTAGTCGTCGTTCTGTTCCTTTTTCTTCTTCTCCTTCTCCTTCTCCTTCCTTTACTACTTCTTTATTAAGAGAAGGAGGTGCCTATACACCGGAGGAGGAAAGAGGAAGAGAAATAACTAAACAATTAACCTTATTAATGAATAATAATTATAATTCTTCCTCTATAGGGTGTATTAACGAAGAAAGTCCAAGAGGGGAGAGGCATAGTGCATTAATATATTATTTATTTAATAATTCCTTAACTAAGGGTATAATTATACAAATAATTGGTTTATTTATTCTTTTTTTCTCTTCTTTTTTTTATTCATACCTCCCTATACACCCCAACTTCTCCCTCCTGCATGCAACAGCTAAACTTCTTCTTCTTATTGGGGCTTTATTTATATCTCTTTTTTATTTCTTATTAGCGGATAATAGCAAGTAAATATATATACACATAGTTATTCCTTTTTATTCCCTTTTATTCCTTTTTCTCCTTTTTTTTTCCTTTTTATTCCTTTTTCTCCTTTTTTTCTCCTTTTTTTTATTTCTTTTTTATTCCTTTTTTGTGTCTTTTTTATGCTTTTTTATGTCCTTTTTATGCCTTTTTTGTGTCTTTTTATTCCCTTCTTATTCCTTTTTATTTCTTTTCTTTCTTTATTTCTTTTATTTATTTATTTATTTATTTATTTATTTATTTTTCTTTTCTTTATTCTTTCTTCTTTTTTTATTTCTTTCTTTTTTTTTTTTTTTTTTTTTTTTT